TAAGGAATGTTACAGTTATTCCTTCATAGTGAACAGCGTTCCTTATGAAGGAATAGTCATTCGTTCCTTATAAAATTAACATTAACATTACCTATCACATAATTTTATTTTTAATTTTTATATTGTCGTATTAATCACATCGTACGATCACAACTAATCCCCAGAGTGTTGATCACCGAATAATGTTACACTCATAACCCAATCTCATAAACTTCTCTTACAACCTCAAACATGACAGTTGAGTTGGCACTGTCACGTCAGCTCCACCACACCCAAAGCATGAAATGATTTTGACTAGACTTAAGGAACGTTACGATTACTCCTTCATAGAGAACAACGTTCCTTATGAAGGAATAGTCATTCGTTCCTTATAAAATTAACATTAACGTTACCTATCACATAATTTTATTTTTAATTTTTATATTGTCGTATTAACAATCACATCGTACAACCACAACTAATCCCCAGAGTGTTGATCACCCAGTAATGTTACACTCATAACCCAATCTCATAAACTTCTCTTATAACCCTAAACATGACAATTGAGTTGACACTGTCACCTCAGCTCCACCACACCCAAAGCACGAAATGATTTTGACTAAACTTAAAGAACGTTACAGTTATTCCTTCATAGAGAACAACGTTCCTTATGAAGGAATGATCATTCGTTCCTTATAAAGGAACAATCATTTATTCATAAGGAACAAGCGTTTCTTATGAAGTAACAACCGTTTCTTATGAATTAACGATTGTTTCTTATGAAGTAACGATCGTTCCTTATGAATGAATGATCATTCGTATCTAATTTAAGTCATTTAGTATTTTTGGTGTCGTAGAAATTGACGTGACAATGTCAACTCTACTGTCACATTATAATTGTAGAGAAAATTGTGAGATTAAGTTATAAACGTAGCATTTTTTGTTAAACAGCCTACAAACCCTCGATTAAACTCAATGAACCAGTCTTTGAATAACTTAAAGTCTTATCATCTTATCACAACCTAAGTGGTTAATAATCCCAAATATTAATCTCTACATATGGCCTGTTTCTTTACAACTTACAAGAACTCGTATGAACAAAATATGGTATTAATTAATTACTAAAATTTAAGCAATTGAAAATAGTAATTAGTTAAAATTAGAAGGTGGTTTTATTTTATTAAATTAAGAGAGTCCGAAGTCCGAACCACCTGACCTGGTGAGCATCTCTAGCAGTGTTGATGCAGACAGATGCAAATAGACAATTGCAGTGAATCATTATACAATTGATTATCTCTCTCTCTCTCTCTCTCTCTCTCTCTCTCTCTCTTTCTTTCTTTTTCCTCCATAATTGACAAACACTGAGCTACTCTACTGTACTACCCATCAAGCTTCATTTATTTTTTATTGGACGTCTGGACTTTTGTTATGAAATCTAATATGAATATAGGAATTGCATTGGCCAAATGGTAAACAATTAGATTTGTCTTATGGTTGAGCTGAACAGTGACATTACCAACGACATACCTTTTCCAAAACAAAAAAGAAAAAGCCTTTCTCCAACTACTTACATGATCAAAGGTTGTTGTTTTTCCGTTTTTTCAAAAATTATAAGATAGGGTTCAGCATAATATCGGATTTCAAACTTGTCCTCGCTTTGATTACTTAAAACACTTGTTTCTTACTTTCCAAAGATTATAAAATAGGGTTCGACAAATGCTCTCGTTAAGACAACATATAGTGTACATTATTGGATTGTCATATAATTATATTTTATATGACGTTACTTTGAAATGCAAAGTTGTAATATTTTACTTATACTATTTTATTTCCAAGTATACGTTGGTAAACAAATTTCAACCACTTTTTTTCTTTTTTTTTTTTTGTTTAAGAGATATCATACACTATTCTAGTAATATTAATATCCATAAATTTATCATAACAATGTATTTTTGTATAACATGTTCTATATGACATTATAGGGTCGTTTGTTTTGTTATTTTGGATATGATTTTGGGAATGATATTGGGTAGTTAAATATGGTGAGTATTACAAGGTAAAATTTAAAAACTAACAAAAAACCCATTAGGTTTGCTAATTTAACTAAACACCCCAATATATAAAAGTTTTGTAAAATGATAAAAACATCCCCACCCACCCACAGTGCCAGATTCCGGCCACCACTGTCGGAATCTGACCAAAAAATGGCATTATGACACAGACCGGTCAGATTTGGCGGGTAGAGCATCGATATGGCCTTTTCCGATCAGATCTACCACGGATCTGGCTGGAAAATGCTAGATCTATGGCCAGATCTGGCCGTCGACGGCCGCAAAAGTCTAAATTTGGCCGTTGTTGTTGGTCAACGACGACCATTTTTTTGACCATCACTGACGACCAGATCAGTGAATTACCGGCCAATTTCAGTCGTTTGTAGGCCGTTGTGATAGATTCTGGCTATCACTGATAATGATTGCCAGAATCTGGTAACTATGTGTGGATGGAGGTGTTTTTGTTAATTTTTAAACTTTTTTCTGGGGGTATTTAATGAAATTAATAAACTTAAGGGGTCTAAAGAATTTAAAAAATATACTAATATTTCCTAAATAATTAAACAAACAAATATTTTGGGAATATGGATAGGAATATTAAACCAAACACACTCATAAATTTTAGATCAATGTCTTCCTTTAATTTTTAATGCATTATTTAGTTTGTTACAGGTATATCTTTCAATATCAAAGTATTGAGAGAAATATTTGTGCATTGTTCAACGACAGAATGGTATGTATCATAAAATATGTCAAGTGAGTTTTGTTACAGTATAACATTACATCTATACATTAATGTAAAATTTGTAAACTCATAATGTGAAACTCATAAACCACAATCGTAATACTTGTAAAATGCACTTGTACACTTATAATTAGTGTTCTAAAACCCGACTCAGCCCAACCAGTTTGACTAATCGAACTGGGACCTTAGGCCTTTTTTGGACCAAATTACCCTTGTCTACTGTTTAAAAATCCTTAACTTAATTGTTGGCCACTTCTGGCCACTTTTTGATGCCCCTTGCCCCTTGCCCCTTGCCCCTTGCCACCTCCCGCTCATCCCCACCCTCACTTTATCACTACCCACCCCTATATTAAACATATTAATATTTAATTTTTTAAAAATTAAATTATTGTTGATGTCACAGGTCCAACAGGTTGGACCGGTTGACCCGCAACCCGGATAACAAAACAGGTTACTCTCCGATCCGAGTTTTAAAACAATGCTACCCACCCCTTGGTGGGCTACATCCCTCACTCTAGCACACGACAAACCCCATTTCCAGATGTGATGCCTTTGCGCAAAACAAAATTGCTAAATTTTCTATTTCATCTAACTTCCTTTATAATTAATGAAAAAAGTTATCGTTATTTTAGTGTAGAATCTTATTTTATCAGTCAACTAAAACAATAAAACTATTTCACATAAGATATTTTTAAATTTTATTATAAATTTATGTACATAGAATATAGATATGGGAATAGTAACATTAAACATTAAAAACACATTATCAAACTTAAATATAAAACATCTTAATCTATAGTCAAAACCAAACTAGTTATAGTTTAAACCCTTTCTTTAAGCTACTCATTAAAATGTGAAATCAAGTTTAAAAGCCATTGAAATTACTATAAAAAGGTACACACACGCTTTCTTTCATAAACCTAAGGCCAACGAATCACGTCTTCAAATTGGTAACAGCTTCCCGTCCCCATCAAATCACTGGAATCCAACGGCCACGATTTATTCCACACACTTGTCTCATCTTCAAACACGTTTATGCTTACTGTTGATTTTGATCCAGCCAACATAATTTCCTTCACCAACTTCTGGGCCCACCCGATTTGGAAAAGAAAAAAAAACCACCCCATTCTTGGGGGCCCACTCCCCTCACCTTTCTTCTCAGCTCCACGTCTTCGTGGGTCCCAACAGGAGCTGAATTTCAGGAATTTACACTTGTTGATTTTTCAGCTGCTTCCTTCTCTTAAATAAGGGATTAAACTTGAAGATTGAATGGAGGACATTTCTGGAATTAGAGTTCTGTCACGGTGTGATTTGTTTAAAAAAAATCACTGCGGTTCTGTTGAAATAAATATCATCATGAGCGTTAATTACATGATGATTTTGATATTGACGGCCATGATTGATACGATATGATTTGAATAGGCGCACCGAAAAGTAAAAATAAAAAGATAAAAGGTTTTTTGTGCACAATAACAAAAGGGCCAAAAAGTTAATCTAAATTACTAATGAACCCTCTACCGCAGCCGCTAAGAAAGCTATAACTAGTGGGTAGTTTAGTCAAAGGATCCGTTTGGACTATAGAGCTTGGACATTAAGTCATGGCGGTCTCTTTCAAACTTTGTTGAAAATTTAAAAATCCTTTTTTCACTCGCTTTGAGGAGCGTGGGCGACCTTTTCCGTTTCCAATACATCTCTCCGTTAATGACACTAATTTAATTTTAATAATTACTTAAGTGAATGTGGTTATTAATATTTTGATATATGTATTATAGTTCATTAATAGCCTCAAATTAAATTACCCATTATGAAAAGGTTATTAACCTGGAAGATTAATTATAATTAGTTAAGTTAAATGATGTGCCATAGTTTAATTAATAACATTTATAATTTTTTCTTAATATTTTATAATTATGAATTATAGTGGATTTTTTTTTAATTAGTATGCTAAAAGATAAATATACATGGTTAATAATACATTGTTAGTGGTCAATTTTAGAATCTAGCGAGCAAGTTGGACACGCGCGAAGTTATGACTTGGGACGTGCTCTTTCTCGCGTATAAAAAGAAAGGAAAAATGGAGAGATGACGTGACACAGCGGGCAGCAGGCAAAGTGACACGAAAACCCTACACGGGCAGCGGGCAGCACAAAACGCCGTCATTCCAAGCCACTAACGCCGTTGTTACAACACACCAGGACACAAAAAAATCAATCATTTTATGACCCCCGAACCTCAGCTCCGTGTCTCACAGCCAGCCTCGGACTGACGTACGGATCTCACAAAGCCCTCCCACACTCGAAAAAGCCAAGCCAGAAGCAACACCAAAAAGGAGAGAGAGAGAGAAGAGGGACTGAGAGTTTAAGAGAGAGAAAGAGAGTGGAGTGAGTTTCCTTAGAGAGAGAAAGAAAGATGGGCCAGATCGTGAAGAGGAAGAAGAAAGGGAGGCCATCGAAGGCAGATCTGGCGAGGCGACCGCTTTCTCCGTCACCGGCGCCGGAATCAGAGATCCGGCGGAGCATAAGGCGGAGAAATGTGCGGTACGACATAGACTACTACGAGGATTACTTTGACGAAGAGGACGAGGACGAGGAAGAAGAGAGGAGGAGAGAGAAGAAGCTTAAGCTGGTATTGAAACTGAACCAGGGGAGCGAGTCAGCTGAGCCGGCTCGGAGCCGGTCTCGCTCGTCGGCGCGTGAAGGACACGCGTCGGACGAGGAGGAAGAAGAAGAGGAAGAGGAAGAGGATAAGCCTTTGAAGAAGAGAAAAATCAATGGTGGTGATGTTAGTGAAAGTGAAGAAGATGATAATAATAATTATGATGAAGAGGTAAAAACAGCATTTACGTTAATGTATGAAATCCAGGTCAGCTGAAATCTTGGAGATTTTTCAAGATTTTTGTGATTGTGTCGTGCTCTTGAGGCTTTCACTCCTATTAATAATAATACTTGTGTGAGAGTTTTGAGAGAGATAAATAACGGTCGGGTCAACTGTCAAAAACTAACAACAACAGAATCTGATCACACTCCTCTCTCTCTACTTTCTCTTTCTCTCTCTATCCAACTCTATTTGTCTATCTACAACTATATCTATATATTTCTTTTACGCACAAACCTTCTGTCTCTCTCTTTGTTTGTGTGTTGTACTTACGTACTGTCTGCTTTAACTGTCTCTGTCTCTCTGTCTCTGTCTTTGTCTTTCATTTGCACACGCAGTCATGTAATATTTATTTGTGTTGGTCGGTTCTTAACAGGCGAGGGGGAGAAAACTGCTGGCAAAAGGGCAGGACTCGGCTCCAGGTTTGTGAGGTTTTGGTTGATTTTGAGATATTATGTTTTAATTTGATGTGGGTTTGTCTGAATTTGGGCTTTTTGTTTGATTAGGGACGCCGGTGAATCAATCAGTCGAGATTCCGTTGCCTGACAAGAAGTCATTGGAGTTGATTCTGGACAAATTGCAGAAGTGGGTGATTCATTGTTAATCTTCTATCTCTATTTATCTAGTGGTGTTGATGTTGCGTTGCTTATGGTTGCTATGTGTGAACTTGTGGCAGGAAGGATACATATGGTGTGTATGCAGAGCCAGTTGATCCTGAGGAGGTGTGTGGAATTTGTTTTTTGAAATGTTGGTTTGTTTTTGGAAGGCTTCGTTTGTGTACAAGATTGAGGTATTGATTGTTTTTGTAGCTTCCGGATTATCATGAGGTGATAGAGCATCCAATGGACTTTGCCACGGTGAGGAAGAAGCTGGGAAATGGATCATATTCTACCTTGGATCAATTTGAGGTTGGTATTTATGTTTCATTATTTTTTTTATTCATGGAGCTGTTCTTTGCTTGGGATATGGGGCTTCTCACTGAGTCTGTTCTGGATTGCGTTACTTATCGCCTGAGTGGGTGAGTTTAAGAGCGCTGTGACAGTCTTTGTTGCGTTTTGGCTCAATTAACGATGGCTTTGGTGGGGACTTTCTTGGTTTCTCTTAAATTTCTTTCCACCCGGTGCTTCTGCTTATGCAACCAATGAATTAGAGTGACCTGTTATAACTCACTGTAAAGATGCCCACTGAGCCAGAAAAGTCAATTTGGTGTAGTTCTGGTAATTTACAATATTTGGGTTGTTGAACTCTTGGAGCTCATTCTTTGCTTTTGTTGCGCTGGCAATAGTTAATTATGGTGCTTGTGCTTCAACATGAAGGTTGATCTTGTTGAGGAGCATCCCATCCCCTGATTCAAGAGAATGGCAGAAATGGGAAGAAGGATAGACTTTTTGTTTAGTTAGTGAACTAGCAATTATGTTTAGGAAAAGTGGAAAATAAAGAAGAAATAGCAATTTTACAAGGCCGCCTTCATTTCCAGTATAAGTTAAAGTTAAATCTATTAGGTCCCTGGTCAGAATGGAGATTAGTTCGTCTATACTATGATTTGATGTTGTATTTGTTTCAGTTAGTGTTATATGCCGGTCTGAGGAAATATACTTCTTTTGTTTTAAAAAGTAGGACGTTGTTGATGAAGTGCCATGTTTATAGACTTTTGATCCTTGATGGTTACATTTAATTGAGTGAGACAGCTGATCTTTTTTTCTCATATGATTGGTTTTCATTGGTCATTGAGTTCAATTGAATTGAAATGAAGATATCTTAGCTAATAGGGGTGCCAACACTGATGTCGACATGCATCCTAGCCTTTTGGGTTTATTTCACTTGGACTTTTTCATGTTATATTCATGATTGTTGCCTCTTCCTCTTACATTATGATTGTAAAGTTTTGTACCTTTGCCTATCACGTGCTTGTGGATGTTTGAGTCTGTAAATGAGAATTTCCTCTGTTACTCTGTTTATTCATCTGTTTAAATGGGAGAGATAAATGCTTACTGTTGAAAACTTGGTGTTGAAAAGAAAATGTTCATATCAAGTGGACATCTAGAAAATGTGCTGCATGTCGATTGTTGATAGAGGTGCCGTTGCAAGTTCCCTGGCTTCCTTTTCTCGTAGTTGAACATTATGAAACATATCTGGATACGGCTTACTGATTGGTTGCACAATCCTTCTCTTGCTACTAATTCTGAATCATTTCATCTTCTTGTCTAACAATAGCAATGCCTGCTTGCCATCTTATTAATGCAAAAGTTAATTTGGTGATCATTTCTTGGCTACATATACTGAGTAGAAATTATGCTCAAATTCCAATTGGATCTTGACCTTCAGACTGTTTATTGTAGTTTTACCTTTTAAGATTGATCTATAAATATGAGAAAGGCAGTGCGGGTGCAGAAGGTTGGAGAAACCAGTGCTTAAGTTGGCGAATTACTTCATCAACTAGATGTTTGCATACTACAAACGGCAAGCTTTAACATTATTGACTCTGGAAATTGATAATTCCATTCATTTACCATGTGTGGTTTTATTTATCTCATGTGCCATTTCTTAGTTAGATATGCCTTTCTCTTATGCTTCTTATTTATGTTTTGGGTTGTAAAGCTTGTTTTCCTTAATGCAGAGTGATGTATTTCTAATATGCTCAAATGCAATGCAATACAATGCACCAGACACTGTATATCATAGACAGGTATAATGCTTTCTTCTGTTTCTTCAGTTCTTGTACTCATTTGGTGAATAATCTGACTGTCCAATTATTTTGCAAAGGCACGTACCATTCAAGAGCTGGCGAGGAAAAAATTCCATAGGTTAAGGGTTGGTATTGAACGCTTTGAGAAAGAGCTCAAGCCAGAGAAAGAGCTCAAGTTGGAGAAGGAGCTCAAATTAGAGAAAGAAGTTAGGTCTGAACAACGGCCAAAATCTAACTTTTTGGCAAAGAAGCAAACAAAGAAACCGTTCAGCCGGACCTTGCAGGAACCTGTTGGATCTGACTTCTCCTCAGGTGCCACTCTTGCCACCACCGGAGATATCCAGAATGGTAATATTGCATTCCAAACTGGTGGTTGTGAGAGGCCTAGCAATACTGATGGGCTTGTAGAGGGTAATTCTTCCCTGGTTGATAATAATTCAGAGAGGGTGGAAGAACTATCATCAGGTATGATAATTGAAGAAATTCTGTTGTGGTATATTATTGTTTGGAATTGCAGAGATTGATATTTTTACTTAGGTAAGGGGGAAATCACTGTCACACGCCTAGAACTAGGTACTAAAGTTGTTTTTTAAGTTTTTGAAGCCAAAGCATTGTTGTGTCTGATGTTGTTATTTATCTTAGGTCAGAATGGTACCGTGTAGGGTGTTCTAAGTTCTAACATCTGATAGCTCTAGACCCCTACTAACTGCTTCATGTTTCAGGGAAGGGTCTCCTATCTAAATTGGGGAGGAAGACATCTGTGGTTGATGAGAACCGTCGTGCAACTTATAACTTATCCAATCAGCCCTTGGTCAGATCAGATTCAATATTTACAACCTTTGAGGGTGAAATCAAGCAGCTAGTTGCCGTATGTAACAGAAAATTTCTCTTTTTCTTCAATACTCTTATTGACTGTACTCTACAATCAATTTATTTTTGTTTTCTTGAATCAGGTTGGCCTCCATGCAGAATATTCCTATGCCAGGAGCTTGGCCCGTTTTGCTGCTGCTCTTGGTCCTGTTGCTTGGAAAGTTGCCTCTCAGAGGATTGAGCAAGCACTACCTCCGGGATATAAGTTTGGTCGTGGATGGGTTGGAGAATATGAGCCACTTCCAACCCCAGTATTAATGATTGAGAACCGTGCACAGAAAGAATCTTCCCTGTTTACAAAATTCCAATCTACAGCTGATCTGCAAAAAGATGATATGGCTTTTAAAACCCCTGTTCCTACTAAGGTGCACCCTGTTAGTCGGCCTATTTCAGAAGGGAATTCATCTTTGTTTCGTCCTCCAAGTGGGTCAACCTCAGAAGGAAAGCCCCCATTCTTTGCTTCTCCCAAAGCAAAACTGAGTACCCCTGCTAGTGTTGTTCATCAGCAACATAATCCATTTTCTAGGACTTTAGCTGAGCCTGAGAATAAGGTCTCAAAGCAAGTTGAATTGAATTTGCCACCTTCAGCAAGCCAGAATAATAGTGATCTTGTTGCTGCAAAACAGTTTTCAAATAAATTAGAAATGGTAGCCTCTAGGCCAAATGAGATGGTGGCAAGGAACATGAATCTGATGCAGCCTTT